CCCCCCCCAACTACATTTTCACCGATTTCCTCTATTGACTTTGAACTTCTATATTTAGGTAACAGGTTCGGGATTTCTACCCGTTCACCCATTTATGACGAGCAACTTCACAGCAATTATGCATTCTATATTTATGAACTTCAGATATAGAAAAAACACAAAAAAAAACTAGAAAATAACGAAAAAATACAGGAAAAAAAGCAACACACGTACAAATCGACTAAGCATTTTGGAATGAAACAAATACAATAAAGGAAGATGAAGGAACCGAGTGAAACTGGCGACAAAAAGACGACACTGAAGCAGATGATATTCAATCGATATGTGCTAGATTTCCTCTCTAAGTTTTCGGACAACAGATACAAATAAATATATTAAAGACAAAAAGAAATCTATATGAATAACTTCAAATCCATTAGAAAACACAGCAAAATAAAATATCACTGAGATCTGTAGGGGAGTGGTGACGATACGAAAGCAATCCGAGAACATCTCATGCTCGGAGCTCCTCCTGATCACTGATGCTACACCATACTTGCAACCAAAGGTTATTGAAAATTATTCCCAGACTACTGTAAGCAGTGTGCAGGTAGGACAATGGAAAATGTGGTTGCATGCCTAATAGACCTGGCTGAAACCTTTGCTATCTAGCTAAGGCACCTTGAACCGGGCTAAGGCCTGAATCGGCCTCGGTGGACTGGTAGCGCTGAACTAGCAACCCTATCTCAAGAGTAAAGGAAGGCTCTTAAGAAGTTCTATAGTCTCTCACCTCACTTTCGCTGGAACCATGAAGGCAACGTCTACTGCTGAAAAACCTGAGCGAGGGTAGACTTTGAAAAAATGGTTATAATCCCATTGAAACTGCCTTGAACCAAGCCGAACGACGCCCAATCAGCGAATCCCCAAAGTGGTTCCCACATACTTCCGTGCAGTTCTCGGTCAAAAACAGGCATGACATCGATGGAGGCCGAGGTTGGGCAGATGGCTTGGCAGGTGGTCAGCTACTTTGCATACCGGGCTCCTATTCTCTGTGTTTTTTCTCCGCTCAGCGCTCTCCACTGCAATGCACACTCCATGCGTCCTTGATCGCGCTCCACCCTCCTGCTCAGTCTTGCTATCTCACTCTACCGAAAACTTCGTTCGTTGCAAGCAATATGGTAGCATCTGCGTTGAGGCCTAATTCGATTGTGCTAATAATTACAAGAGGCCGACGAGATTGTGTCACATCTGCGCCGTGCTCAGCTACAACTTATAAAGAAGTTGCATGTATAGGACTGGTGAGGAGATGTGGCCAAAAAACGGATTACGGTAGTTGAGAATGTCTGCAACAGGAATAGCAAAATAGCTGAGTGAGATTAAGTGAACAAATGCGTTGAGAATGCACGAAGACATTCGAAAATGGTGATCAAGAAGTGACGTACAGAAGCGGTGGATATGCCTAAAAGGCTTTATTGGCCTAGATGAAAGCGCCTTTTTGGCCTTGCAGTTGAGCTAAGAACAACTGAGCTAGCATTTGTTGATTGAACATCGGCGGATAGGGGAAAACATGGGGTTTTGGAGGCAGAAGCCCCTCAGGCAGTAAAAATGGTTGAGTGGCCATAGCTGTGGCCGCGTTGGTGGTGTTTGTGGCGGCCGCAGGTGACGATTGAGTTACGCTTTCAGCCGCTAGGCTAACTGGTAGTGTTAACGTAGGCATTGACATTGATGTGACAGCTGTAGTGGCTGTGGTTGGTGAAGACGGTGAGCTGGTAGTGGTGGCCGTGCTGGGCTTTGCTGGTGAAATAGTTGCACGGTGATCGACAGCACGAGCTGCAGCAGCCGATGCAGTGAGCTGGACCAGAGCTTCCATCATTGACCTAAAAAGGGGTGAAAGTGAGAAATTCACGGTACACTACGAGTCCAATTGGGGACGGAATAGATCATGCAACATAACATATTGGCATAATTGTGGCGCAATTACAACGCCTACTATAACTAACAATTAACTGCACAGTACCAGTTCTACACTCCAAGCTCGATTGAGCTTTTGCTTCGCAAAATGTGAGAGGTTGGGATCATGGAAACAGAACAAGAATGCGAGTTTTGATTCTGTTTTCTAGGGTTCTTAAAATTTACAACACCTACGAGCTGACTGTCCGCAACGCGAACAATCCCACTAAAGAAGTGAAACAATTAGCGTAACAAGGGTCAACCGGGTATCGCACATTGTCGCCTAAGCATGGCCGCATCAGTCATATGTAACCTAAAAAGAACTTGAAATCTTACTGAGGCATCATCGGCATGGGTGGCATATGCTGCTGATCCAAATTGCGTAGTGTGAGATCCAACGGAGACTCTTCCTGCCCATGAGGACTTCGAATACGTGGCGGAGGTGGAGCCTAAAATTCATGAGTTGAGAAATAACTAAGAATTTGCTGACAGTTTTCGAAAACTTAATACCAACTGATAACTACCAAACTACATGCTGTAAACAAAGAAGTGTGCAAACACCTGCCGTACCTTAACGCCCTTTCGGCTTAGTTTCTGCTGGTAAGCGATGGGGCACCCGGAGAGACTACGGTGGGACGTGCGATTACTATTCACATGACCTTTTCCGGTACATCCAGGTGTCGTGCATCTCAGTACGGTATCCTGTTGAAGGGCAAGCACTGAAATGAGTCAAAGGTGATTCTGAGATTATGTTTTGCCACGGTCAGCCTTAAGGAAGTCCCATCACAGCCGCGCGGTCAGAAAAAAACCGATGACAACGACTGAAATTGTCGTTTGATGCACGGCCCTCGAGCAAACAAAGACGCCGCGTAATCAGTCATTGACTAACCGCGATGCGATGCCGCACGCGGCACCGAACCGACTCAATCTCGCCTCACTCAATGAATGCATGTAAGTAGACACAATGACAAATCGACACCGCTTCAGCTACCGTAGTAGTTGTTAATATGGCCGAGGGTTCATACCGAGATTCTATGTACTCACTCTGAATTGTTGACTTGTCGGGACGTCGTGGGCAGCCGGATAGACTTCGATGATGAGTGTAAAGGCCGGTTTGGTGGCCGCTACCGTCACAGCCGGGCGTCGGACACGCCAATTTGCCTTCTAGAACAGCTGAGAGCGATTGCATGAATCAGATGGCCACGAGTGTCCGTCGAACTCACCTCGACGGGCGCTCCAATTCACACTTGGCGAAGGCATCGATGGAGTACCCATACTGGGACTGGCAGATCCGGATGGTGGCAGTGACGAGGAGACAGGAGTTTTAGGCGGCGACTGGAAACAAAGGCTATTCGCATCTGATTAAGCGCCAGTTAAAAGGATTCAGTACTTACAGTGGTCGTTACTTCAACTGCTGACGGGCCAACGTCTTTGTCCGTAGTGGCTATGCGTCCATCGATGGACATACAAAGCATCTCAGGCTCGACTTTACATGGTGACACGAAGCTCATTTCGAACCTCTTTTGATTCTGAAAGGAAAACGTCTTACTCGTACAGGTTATTATTTGAATAGGTGAAATTGAATCCGGCCAAAGTGCTAGCACCGTCCGCGTGCTTCCGTAACCAGACCATCCCTTTCTGTGCTGGGCCCTCGGAATACTTCAATTTTTCACTAGACTTGTTTCAATATCGGAAATTTTCCTTAAACTATACAAGAATTCTTGGGAGTAAAGTCAAATTCAGTCAGAACGCAAAGGCAAGACTGATACTTCCCAAATTGAATTGAACTTGCTGAACTTCTCAGGCTTACACCATCCACAGTATGAGCAGACCAAAGCAGACGACGTGATGGTGAGCCAAAACAGGCCTCTCCTAGGCTAACGCTTACTTTAATTCTCATAGTACTTCTAAGGGTTCCAAGGTATTTCAAATGTCCATCTCCCGCCGAAATGTAAGTGTACCGAGGCTGTTTCTTCCAATCTGACAGCTACGTTTCACAGTCAGTAACTACCTCGAAGCATTTCAGGAGCCATGTTTTAACAAAAAACATTTTAAGTGTTCCGGAATTTGGTAAAGTTCCATGTCACAGGAAACCTGAGATCTACCATGACTTATCTGTCGGTTATTGATTTCCATTTATTTCAAGAGCTACTTGAACTAATGCTCCTTAATCCTTCTTCTCACCTCGTCATTCTTTTCCAACTCGTGCTCATCAGTCTGCGAATCAGAAGCAGTAGCCACTTCATCTGGAGGTAAAGCAGTTTCTGAGTTGCCTCCGCTATCATCATCCTGTACGCTGTCCTCGACAACACGAACGATATCCTTGGCTGAAATGAGGACGACATGAATTCGTACAGCAGTGATGTTTGTAAAGAGGAACACACAGAAGAGCCTGGAAAAACCATGGATGATGACAAAGAATAGCCGGCCTCTTGGTCGTCCCCGTACTCATCATCGCGTCATGCCCTATTGCTAAGGGTAAATGTTCGACGACGACGACGACCACGACGACAGCCCCCTCGACCACCCCCAAATCGCCCATGTAGATATAATAGAGCGAGCAGAAAAACATCTAATGATGAAAAAACGCGTAGAAGGTGAATGGGTGTGATTGGATGGACGGAAAGCAGACCAAGGACGTCCATGGGAGGAATATGGGAAAATTAGGCAGGTTCAAACGGAATTTTGATCCAAAGTTTTTAGAAATACCGCAACCACTCAACTTCAGTAAGCCTTACGCTGCAAGAAAAAATATCTACTAATTATCTACTTTTGCTGAGCCCTGAGTCACACCCTATTTCATGACTTTCGCTCAGTTTTAGTTACACCCAAGTGAAGGTAAAATAAAATCATAAGAGTTAGACCTTAGTAACATTTACATTTACATTTATCGTCACCCGACTCACTGTAGCACGTTCGTGATAGATTTTTACTGATACCTAGAGGAGTCAAAGTAGTCTTCGGTACCACCTAGGTACTAGTAGTGGTTCAACGTTGTCAGAGAATGATGGTATTAATAAACGTATGTGACGCATAAATATGAGCTTGTTCCCTTCTCTAGGATCTAACAACTTCAGAGGAGAAAGTCCAAAAGATGCAAAATTCAGCAAAAGCTAAGCTCCCGTTTTTATTTTACATTCCTCTTTCCCTAATAAATTCCAGAAAGTGCAAGGAAACAGAACAACAAGATACCAGTAATTCCGGAAGTATACGAATGCTCATAATGCACAAGCTGTGAGAACTGCATTCCCCGATTCATTAGGATCTCGGCAACCATTAAGTATTTTGAAAGCTCAAAAATCAAAAAAAATGTCCTTAAATCCTGGGAAGATTCAATAAAAGGATGTGGAAAAGTGGCAACAAGGAAGAGGCAGAAACTTCTGAGGCGCCGGTAGCGTCTCATGAAATCCACTCGGGACCATAACTTTTCCAAATCGATAACAAACTTCCCTAACGATTACGAAAGAAAGGTTCGCTAAAGCAGAGCGATCAAATCAACTCTTGAACCCATAAAAAAGATGGAATGAAGCCCTTTGGACTCTGAGGAAAAAAAGCGTCGCTTGCAAAGCTGAAGAGGGTAATGGGCCGAAGGGGGGCTGGTTGTTGAAAAATCGAAAAACGCATAAACCGAGATGAGTAACGTGCTAAGGGATTAAGCAATTTGCAGACAAAACGAGGCCGTCTCCAGACAAAGTACCACTTTTCTGCAGAGCAAATAAATGAGTTTGGAGACAGAAGCACTTCAGAAAGAAATCAGAAGAGGGTGAGAAGAAGAAACACAAATAAGGCCAGGTGACAGCGTAAAACAGCTTACCGTCAGGTTTTCGACGTCGTTTTGCTGTTGGTGCTCCTTCACTGGGCGTTGACACCACCGACGACACGTCGTCTGGTGTCTCGGAGCCGTCTGAATGCGTCTCCTGGCTGTCACCTTCAGGTGGTGTGACGGCGTTTCGTGCCGCCAAAGAGCTGCAACGGAAAACATAGGTATTGATCGATTAGGCGGAACTGCCTAGTCACTAACCTAACTAACGACAGAAGATAATCTGGTCCATAATGCCCGTTATTCGAGAACACACCAGCCATGTTCATTACGGAAATAGTTGCTCTACAACCGTAATTCGTAAATCACAAACGTGACTAAAACTACGATGAGCCAAAAGCAATAGCTGTAAAGTTGAGTATGAAGTTTAGTGACGACGAAATAAACACAGTAGTCAACTCTCAGCTCTGAGCTCTCGGTTCGGTGGCGTGCCGAAGTAGCAAATAAGGAGTGAGAGGGGCGTGGCCGACGCTTGGAGGTAGGCGTGGCCGGCAGCAGCTGCCTCTCTCTTTCGGCGGCCATGGCGATTCACTCATTTCCAAAGAGGGCAATCGCTTCCACCACTGGTCAGATCGGTTACAGATTGATGACCAATACTGTGAACAAATTCAAATAACCACTTAATCCTACAGCAGCTGCATTGCCGTCAAATTGGGACTTCTGTTGTGATACAGTTTCAATTAGGCAAAGTTTTACTTCACTAACTAATGACTACTTTTACAACACAAATGACGACATTTTGAAGTGCTTAAGTAAAATGAGTATCGAACTGGCTAAATAAATGTAATAACAACAAAAAGAAAAAAATGACTGGGACATGACGGCTTCTAGCAGCAGCATTCCAATCGATAATTTAGCCAAAACAGAAATGAAAAGAAAAAAACACGACTTTCTTTTGCAAAGTACGAAGTCCTTTAACGATTACACAATATTTGGATGGTAAGAACAAAAACAAACAGTAAAAGTCAATTAATCAAAAAATGAAACAATCAATACAATAGCATAACAATTAAAAACACGTGTTTTCACAATTTTTCATAATACTACGCGTCATAAGAGTCCAAACTGAAATCGACCAGCTTCACAGGTTTCGTCTGCCATTTGCCGAGTCCAGCGGTTTCCAGCTTAAGAACACTCTTATATTAACAACCAAAATAGCTGACACGGGGACGGATACAAGTGCAAATAGCTTGCTGTGTGGGTTTCAGCGAGCCGTTTGAGAGCTTTACCGGCTCTTAATTAAGTCGAATCTATCTGACTCACTTGCTCATAAAACACGCGTTTAGCTTCATTGTAAGCGACTGCTTTCGCCTTTGCTTCCATGTAAGTTCCACTGCTTTTCAAGGTATCAGGTGCCAACTTTAGGAAAGCCTACAAAGGAGTAAAGATCATTTTTTGTAACAAAAGTGAAAGTATCTAACAAAACCATAATTTCACAAAATCACCTACCTCAAAGATTGCCGCTTTACACAGACGGGACGGTGACCCTTTGTTAGTTCGGCCAGATTCCAGATTCAGCATCTCCACATGCTCCATATCACGTGTCCACACGTGTGATGGCGACATTGACAACATAATTTTATTCTGAAAAAAAATCGTTCAACAGAGTCGATAGCGTGGTAAATACTCATAAGAACTACAAAATAATTCAAACATACCCTAATTGACTCCACTTTACATGGAATCGTCGGTGGTTCGAGTCGTCCAAATAGGGCATGCAACATCGAGTCATCGCTCACAGGTGCCACACTACCGAAGAACACCGAATGCGGTAGTATTGGATGCATTATAGTGGACAGAAGCGCCCCTTGGACACCTGAAATCACACATAAACTTACGCTACCGTAAGAAGTTAAAGTTGGATGATAGCTACCGTAGTCTAGCAGAGGGCCGAGACATGCGGCGAAAGCGATGTCTCGAGAACTTTGAGGCAGTCGAGCGTTGGACGAAGAGAGCGAGAGAAATCGCCGCGTGCGAGCAGCCGTCTTCGAGTAGGCCAATTAGACGGACGCGCAAACTTTGCGCGCCACTCGTTTGGCCAATCGCCGCTCGGCTGCCTAACTTCCGGCAACCGTAATCATCGCACTTTGGCATGTGAGAAGAGTGCATAAAGCGGATAACACTAGAGGAAATCCGAGCCAAGCACCTGTCGCACAAAAGTCGATCCTTGAATGGACACAGCGAAAGCACACAGAGCATAGACACATTCCTCAGTGTCATCAGTCACAGCACACTAATTCGACAAGCGAACCCGCTACCAGCACCATCACGACAACGACGACGGGACAATTAATTATTTACCTATGGCATGACGCAATATGCAACAAGGCACATTATACGGATAGTCGAAACGCCGGTCATTGTTTGACCAAGCCGCGGTCATTTTTTCATCACAGCACTCTCCCCATTTCACCCATCATGCACCTGGCCTCTACCAGAAAGAGTACTCGTTTACGTATTGAACGCGCTGAATTTAATGCGCTTTCTGCACTAGTCCACACGTCCATCATCTCTTGTGCAATAGAATCTTCGCGCATACGGAAACGCGTCGTCGCTTGGTGGTGACAGTGGAAACTCGATGCGCCACATTACTCTTAAGTGTGAGCTCTCCTTTAGCCGTCCGCCCCCGGCCATCCAGCCACCCCCTTGACGCCTATTCTATTACTTCTTTTCGAGTCCCGAAGAGCTCAGTCATTCAAACCTGAACACATGAAGGCTAAACGAAACTGGAATTCGTAGGTAAGGGAGCCGAGTGGGACAATGTCGACTGCTCTTATCGAAGAAAAGGTAATGAACGAACTGATGAACATCTTTAGACTTAGTGCTTTCGGCCCAGCCTCCTATTGCCGAGCTCATTCTCGTTAACACGGAATCGGCATACAGAAATTAGACAGAGAAGGCTATGATGGCTATCCTCAGACCGCTGCCGCTGTTATGGGTGCAGCACGCAAACCGCATGTCATTCCTCAAATCTCATTCGTCGCCCGGCGCATTTGAAATCGCAGAAACTGATCGAGATGACGATGACAACGACCAGTAGAGAAAAGATGAGTGCACTAGCTCAATGACAACTACCGTAGGACACTCGACGACCAGAGGAGCACATGGAGGGAACAAAACTAAGGGGCAGAAATGGATATACGTAAGAACCAGGGCGTTTCAAGGGCTATCTACAACATGCACCTCCCTCCTTCAATGGACAATCGTGCGATGTAGCATTAGGCAAAAAGGGGTGTTCTCAGCGGGAATGCGGTTGATTTTCACGTTCAGTCCGAGTTACCCACTAAAACCTTTTCTTTGAAGAGTACTCATTACGAGATCCAAGAGCACTGTTGCTCCGTCGTACGAGTTTGTTTTGACACCAGTGTGGCCTGCGAAAGCTACTCCATTTCGTTCGTGGACGACTTGTTAAGCCTCACCTAAGCCAAACTCATTACATTCTCCAACGAAACCACATAAATCACTAACGGGGCACATACGCGATGCGGCGATACGCGTCTTTCAAGATGTCGACGGCTGCATCGTCGATAGACGAGTTCGATTATAAATGGCGGCAGGAAGTTGCCTCTTCGTCTTCAAGAGTTTAATTAGCAACTGAAGAGATGTGCGCTAAGATTGATATCGAGATCATACGAGCTAACATTCGCTAGTCGGCAAAGGCAATGAACAAACAAGGGTTTATATGGCCAAATGAATACACTTTTTCATTAACTATAGAAAGTAGATACAAAAACTACCAATATCGCAGGAAATGATTGTTGAACGGGAAAACTATTTGCTGCGACTACGGTTTGTACCAACTGACAACAACTGATCCCATACCGAATCCATACTTCTCAGTTTTCAAAAATTGGTGGAATTCAATTTGTCTATGACAGAACGAAAGATATTGACTACTCCCTTCGAAATTCAGCAGACTTTTGACCACTCCCTTTGAATTCAGAAAACCTGCGCCCTCTATGCTCTATTGCAGTGGGCTCAATATTGATCAGTACGCTGGAATGCACCACGCATTTGAAATCCATCGAAAATTATATAAAGAACTGCCGCGACCAATCGTCCTATTCCCAGACCAGTAAAGATTACAGAGATACTATACAATAAATTCGTTTTCCCCTCACTACAAGATGGGGAAGTATACCGCTGCGCTGACCAAGAACCGAACTTCGGTACCGAATTTCCTTATAACAATCCAACTAGGCGAGCACAGCTTCAACGTGTCCCTGTATATTCTTGCCCAGAATTTCTCCACAGGCCTCACCAGGGATAACAACACCTGCTCAAAGTTTTGAGCCGAAAAGAAAACGAAAGCATAGCGCACTTTAGAAGAAAAGCCAATCAAGGTCAAAGGATTAGAGAAACATCCTCTCTGGGAAATCTGCAACTACGAGAGACCAGCCTTTTGCGCGTTTCCAAGGGAAGGATTTTTATAACTTCCCGATGAAGCAGTTCATTCATTTACGTATCCTACTCTTTCTGCCACTTTGAAAGAGAATGCTCTTCCTTGAATATTCATAGGCCAATTTCAGCGAGAGAGACGTCCAGTTCGCTGCAGTTTAATAACACTTACGTCGTCGTTGTGTTTTCAATATTTGGGCCAGCATATCTCATCTGCTGAGTTAACTCGAGCTTTCACCCTTCCACCCTCTCTCTCTCTCGCTTCCAAGTCCGCCTTCCCCCTTCGTAGCGACTATCGGGCATTGTTTTTCTCATCGACAACTTCGACTACGGTAGCTCTGTGGACGACGGGATGAGTACACACCGCTAGCTAGCTAGCTCTACAGAGCCACCATCAAAACAACGACGACGATACTCTCGGATGACAAACGCGAATTACGCTGTCAAGCCCCAATAACATAATCGTGTATTTGCTTCAATAAAAAAAATGTCGTCTAGCTTTCTCTGGGGACAGCTGGGATGTATTAACACTAGAAATGAGTCACTACTATTAAAATTAAAAAGCTTAATTCCATTTACTACTTCCGAACTAATTCCCACACAAAGACAAGCCGGAATGTTTGAAGAACATTATTAAAAGCGACTTCCTTTGCTCTCCAAAGAGCGCTCATCTGATAATCTTATGAGTTTTTAATCTAATAAAAGATTCAGGCGTGATATTCAAAAGCGTCCTTTCCAAAAACGTATTTAAAAGATTCGAAGAACTCACATCATTCAAATTACTCACGAACAAACATAAAAACACAAGAAAAGGCCTCATTGTCCACCATGACATTTTGAAACTCTTTAGAATTTACCATAACCCTTAAACCTTGAACATTCTCGATTCCATCCCCAATTTAGGTGAAGCCAAAATCTTAACTCAAATTTTCAAGAACCTGGATAGAAGACCATTTTCTGCACGACGCTAAAAATTATGTTCATAACTTCCACCAATCATCCTCAACTTCTCCCAATCATGGCCTCCTTTCTCTCCCTTTCTGAACTTCCTGCCCTACTCCCGTCAAGTCTAGGTCAATCAGGTAGTAGGTCGAGCGCAATACCATCTGCCATACGTAATTCGGTGTCTGCTAAGACGCTCAAAGCACACCCACCAGTTCTCATCCTTAATATAGCTGGCGACGGCTTTGTGCAGGTGATCCCAATCTGTGACATCGCCCCAACCTAATTGCTAATGTTGTAATGCGAGTACCGGTGCGTCGCGCCCCACATGCACTGAGCAATCCCGGCAATGTGCCAAACTCCTGTACACCGTCCCCTGTATGAACACCTGTTCATTCATCGTCCACAAAGTCAGTCAGTGCCGGGAGCGAGAATGTCTGAGTAATCACTGAGCACTACTACACTTTAGCGCGGAACCAAAACATCGTCGTCTATGGAGAGCACTCAAATAAACGTCGAAAAGCTGGTGCAATGAGTGCTCGCTTTACATAGACAGATGGTCAGTATGTCCACACACTGTGACCGACTTGGAAAGCGACTACGTCCATTCGACCATCCGCTACACCGACCTTTGAACAACATTTGATGGAACTAGTAACCATATGGTATATGCAGCACACTACTCCAGTGAACCATTACAAATTACATACATTCGTCATAGAAATCTCTTTGAGTGCTGTCACACTTGAAACGAGGTTCCTCTGTAGAAGACCACGCATTTGGACAGCGGACAGGTGGAATGGGTGGAGCATACGGGCACTTTTGTTTCCGATCTCGTATAAATTGTATTGGCGACGACCTTCTTGGACAGATTGACAGGCGGATGCAAAGCCTCAATACCGAAAATTATGTTCAGAAAGAATAAGGGACTAGGAGGGGATTCTTCAAGCAAGCAGCCCTTAAGCCCTTAAGTTCCTCAAATCCATGTTCTCTAATTATCGGCTAAATCGAGAAGTCCATCCGAACGACGAATCAATGCTGTAGATTATGCAACCAACATTACACCTGCATAATGCCCAGACACGATCTGCAAGCTCGACATCCCTGGATGGAACTTACATTCCTCCTACACTAATCATTCTCTGCAACCACCCTTCGTCAGTCCCGCTCGGTTTCACCACGACACGACGATAACCAATTATTAGTGCAACTCTACCGTACTCAAACATGACTCCTGCGACAATCGCGTGATTGTCGTCAACTTGTAGGCATCAATCATGTCATCATGTGCGGTGCGTTGACTGTGAGTTATTCGACACGCGACGTCGCACGATGCGCCTAGCTACGAGTTGCGGCTAATCATCGCCATAGAAGCAAACCGTTGGCTGATTAGCCAGCATCATCAGCACAGACAGTGGCCTTCGAGAACAACGAACGGGAAACTCTCCCACAACTTCCATACACAACTGTTGAGGGAACGACTTATAGCAACTATGGGCGCATCAGAAAATTCTCCGAATACGAAGCCATTGTCGGGATATCTAATAGCCCCGCAGTGTCCAAAATGCAACGCCTACAATTCGAGTTCAAATCTCAGCAGCCAAGTATCACATTTAGAGGGAGCGGACCATGCTGAGGTCGGTTGACGATGGCCACCTGGCGCCATGTGTGAGTGCTCTATCAACTTGCTTTACCACCTCACTCGACTGACCTTGTCCAGCGCGCTCCATGAGCGCATTAATCACTCGCAACCCACTCCAACATCGTTACCGTATCGCAAAGAACGCGACAGTAAGCCACAATTATGGACACCGCCATTTTCAGCCCAGACAAAGACGGAGTTCAAAATGCGACATGAATTCTCACGGATCTATGCGATGATTGCCACGTACGAAAAAAAATTACGTACAAGCGTAAGCAAGAAATAGGCGGGTGAGTAATTGCTGCAAGGCATAGGTACCTACAGGGAAACAAGAAAGGAACGTATGGATTCTCCGTTGAAAAAGGAAATCTACCCACCAATCTTGCTCCACTTGTAAATCTTATCTGCCGCACAATGGACGTTCAGTCGACCAGTTTGTTGAATATCTGCCAACGACTGTGCTTCATCTGGTACTGCGATCAGATGTTTCGGTCTGAAACGAAGAAAAAGCAATCAGACGGACATTGTAGCGTTAACTATAACATTGCAATATAAGAACTATTCTATTGCATCAAAACAGTACTTTACCCTGCTGATAAGAGCCTGATTATTTTAATCGAGCTAAAAGTTCCGCAACTTATGAAGCAACACTTTTCTTCAACCCTTCTTTGAAGCCCTTCAAACAACAACCATACCATGATTTGTTAGGCAGAAGCATGTTCTGAAGAAGATCAGACATATATGTGATCCTGTCGCGCTTTAGGGAATTACCCTTCCCGCGTGAATATGCCTAAGTATGCCAAAACTACCGAAAATCGAAAACCGAAATACTAAATTTGCCAGCATTTGCGCTAAGCCTTATTCATCGCAAGACCTACATCACAGGGATCCCTTCGACAGTTCCCGAAAAAACTCGACCACCCTGCTTCGTGAAAAACTATCAAAGTTCTTTTGGCTTCGATGACGACCACAGTGATGGGGCCACCTGCACGACGCAGTTCACTGCTTGTTTCTTATCCACTGCGCAACTAAGTGTCCGCGACAGATGTTCACTAAAACTTTTTTGCCTTGCCATTTTCAAACTTTGATGGTTTCGATGAGAGACGAAATATTCAAACGAACGGGTTAGATTAGATCCCCCTGAAACCTACCTCAAAACCAATATAAAGGGCTAAACGAACTCAGTACTTGCAATGAACTCTTTGTTTCCTTACTCCATTACAATCTGCCCAAGAAATCAAACTTAGTATGTTGGTGTAGTGACTAGTGGTGCCCTATCACACACTCAAGGTCAAAGGTTCGAATCTCGCCGCTTTCCATCCGTCTGAGGTAGACTTATAGGTACCAAATTCGGCTGAGTAGATAAAAGCGCTGACTTGTAGGCACATCGGCTGGCCACCTCGAATGGGGCAGGGCGCATTCGACTTCCATTCAGAGTCGTCGAGAATTTAATGCGGGATTGATCAATGCCAAGGATTTTACTTTTACATAATAATTATTCAAGATTCATCATATCAAAAATCAATTTATTTCGAGTAAAAATTTGTATTAAATGAATGAGTAGATAAAAAATATATGAAAGTATATGAAATGTATATATATAGCTATTGAACGAATTTTGAACTTTCGCTATGTTTGCCAGATCATCATAAAAATGGAAAACATTTGCCAATTCGTGGCATGTTTTCATGAACAAGGATGTAAGGTTTATACCAATACGTAGCCACCGAACGGACGGTCCGCTAGCGTTTGTTCACCTGCGCACGACTTTCGAGAAGTACAAGCAGCTCTCCCGATGCGCTGCTATAGTTAGGGACCATGCGAGAAAGCAGTAATCACATGAACCCGAGTGATTCATGCAATTCTGCCAGTTTTACACTACAGAGTCCACAGGGTCACTGGCTTGGTGCCCATTAAGTAGGGAGTACATTGAATAGCGCAGATGTTCCGATCGGAAATACCCTCGATTCTGTGCCGGAAAAGCGCAAGCGTAAAGAATACAGGCCGACAAGCGGCTATGACAGTGACGATTGCACAATCTCGACCGCTTTCCTCTTCTCTTCTCCTCCGTCTTCCTCTTCTTTTAACAAACGTCAGCTGGTCAATCGAACAAACGCCCGATGGACAATCAAACAATTACGAATGCAAACTGAGTGCATGCGTGCACGCTCATGAAGATTCGCGCCCGAATAAGGTAACGGGGACCAACGATATTCGAACAATCCGAAAAAAAGACCGACTTCTTAAAACACTTGGAAATGATAATTCTTGTCCTGATAACAACTCCTTCGACCAGAATAGTACAAGTTCTTCCCTATAACAGAACAATGTGAGTCTCTGAAGGGTGATACCAAAACGGAGCGTGCTGAATTCAAAGTGGCCAACTTATGGCAAACATTGGTGTGAATGGGAAACGAAGCGGTCCGTCTAAAGTACCTCTAAGGTACCAAACACTACTGACATCCTCAGAGTTCCTACCCAGCACCAACACTAAGCAGATCTGACAAGCGCTTGTGAAGAAACTGGAGAATATTTTCGAGTGGTGAATTAATAGATCTAGAACGTAGATGGGCCCGAAATTGTGATTCCACTTTTAATCGAAACGGAACTTTGCCATCCAAATCACAAATTTTCAGGTCAAGACTTTGAATGTTAGAAAGTAATGAATGAAAAACTCACTAAGGAAACCTATTATCCACAAATGTCTTTAGATCATGAAACATACACAATCTTCTGATATCTTATCACTTTTTATTATTTAAAGTCCTAAGAAAAATGCAGCATTAATAATTTCGTCTGATTCCAATAGTTTCATCAGCAAGAAACACCTCGGTCGAAAAGTTTTTTTTTCAAATTACTAATTGTAAGTTATTCTCGAAAATTCTTTTGTGGGCATTGCTATCGTGTCGAAATACAGAAGGGAACTTCTAAATACTTCCGAGAACGCCTTTTTTATGAAAACTTCTGGTCTTCAGCACTAATTGCCGTCATAAATCTCGCATTTTCCTCATTAGGCAGCTCTGCTTTTGCGTGTAATTACTACCGATGATTGTTACCATATATAATTACGCCGCAATTTGAGGATATGAGATCTCACCCCATAGAGGTCAGCTCGACCGCTGAGTTCTTTTCAATTACCCGCTCTCGGATAACTGATTCGCTTTTCTAAAAGCTTTTGGGCAGCAATTTATATCGCGGTCGCAGTACCATCTCGACTTACAATTTCTCTAAGCGGCTCGAGGGTTAATTCGATTTCCTGCGAATCTTTCGTTATGTCAAATAAAAAACACACAATGCAGATGGGCGAGAGACAAGGCGTATGGTTGTGTTTGAAGACAAAAGTCAATTTACCAGCGCATGTCACCATCAACGACGACAACCAAATCACACATGGCTTCATTTCTTTTCGAACGATGTCTTCTAAGCAGCACACATGCCCTTCGCGTATCGCCACTGCCGATTCGTTTTAAATGCCCTACACGTCCATTTACGGACACATCAGCCTACCACAACCACCACCGCCAGCACCAGCACTAGCACGCAGTGCCACTGCAGATGGCCACAGACATTGCAGCCACTTCCCAGTTGTATTTGCGCGAAATTGGAATATGTCAAATGATTGCAGCTGAACAAAGGACATAGCCTACTATCGGAGAAAGATCGCAGAAATCCACTGAACAGCACGAAATTCAAAACGTTGTCGTGATTGAGACTGTAGGGACAGTACTTCATAAAAAGTACAGAACCTCATGTACACTGCGATACTAGAGCTCAGCTCCTACGGTTAGTTCGGCTTCGCAAAATAAGGATATGGCAGAGAAAAAAAACAGCCAAATATACTCCAAAGTAATTACTAGACACACTCTTTCATGAGAGTATCCTTCCAAAGCAATACCAAAGATCGGATTATCACTCCCGCGTAATGCTCTCAAATCACTGTCCTGAACGTTGATTCCAGATAGGACCTGAGGAACCGTCGCACGGAATCAGGGTGGTAGGAAAGATAATAGCGTTAGGTAACTGAAAGACACGTGAGCGGTGGGTATACCAGCTGCAACGGTTCTTAAACATCACAAGTACGCCTCTGTATCAAGATTCATTGAATCGTCCAGTGCTGCTTGCTTACACTCTTAGAACTCTTTCTGAACCATAATCAATCGAAGTATCAATAAGTAAACACATTGTCCTCATTCGAAATAAGGAAAAAGTAGCCTAGGCGTTATGCAAGTGCCTCCATACTATGTAGTTCAGACGTTTCCAACGACCTTATGTAGACCAACGAAGGCTTCGAAAATGGGGAACAACAGAATAGCCGTAAGCGTTGTTTGAAGAGGCTCTTGAAGTTCAGAAGCCAACAAACTTCACACCCAAGGCTAAAGCGGGTAAAACTGCTACTAGATCCTTTAAAGATAGCGCCACATCATTGGCATGGGAGACAACGACAACGTGCTCAGAAACTCCAAGTTTTCATTAGTAAACGGCTGATCAGAGGTGAACCGAGTGAATAACGGTCAACTTCCCAAAAACGCCTGATGCACTCCGAACGTTTTTTACTGCATCACCCATCTCCATGTACGATTCACCATCGGGATAATTACAAATAACATAGTACCGTTTTCTCACCTGAAGAGAACGCTGAAAGGGCGTAGCTCTCAGAAACCGAGTAATTTTCAGGGAAACCAAGTTGTAGATCCCTCGTCACTCATTGACTTCTATACAACAAAACTTCGCACATGAATCAGGCCATCTCATAGAGCTAATGGCGGATCACAAAAGAGTCTCTTATGGCAGCGCACTACTCAGGGCAACGAGTTTACGCGCATTAAGGGCACATAAAGCTGCGCGAAAAGTGGTCGCCAAGTTACTTTGACGAATCGAATGTGCCCATAAAAAACAAAAGCGGCTCCTGCCAGTAAAGTGTCGATGAAATAGTAAACCAATAGCATTGACTTTCCCGTGAGGGCAACTACAATTACTAGTTAACGCTATCTGAACAATTTAGAAATCGGCTGGCAAAAAAATCGCAAGCTGGCAAAATTCTTCAAACATAACAAGTTGTACATTAAAACGAAAACCCTCGCTCATAGAAAAAGTTCCTTTGAAGTAAATCATGTCGAACTCAATGCCGGCTACTACTAAGGCAAGTTAAAGGAAAATTGACGACATTGTGTAATGGTTGACAAACAAAAAAAAAAACATAAAAATCCAAAACCCAGCAAATTTGCACAGTGAAACTTATGAGCATAACAATGCTTTCAACCCTCGGTTACCATAACAGGCCATTTTAGAGAAACACAGTTCTTTCAACGGAAAGGCCTACAAAGTGCATCCAAGAGTGCCGTTCATACTGATTTCACCTTCATACATGGCGCAGTTTCAGAAAACGTCCCCGATAGAATGAAGATGTTGAACATACCCGAGATAGCTGAGTTTTTTCACTGAGGCCTCTGGGCAGCAGAACGAGCAGTTCGGTGCGTATGTGGCGTACAGCACCAGCCGTAGACCGTCATTCAATTTCAGCATACCGTTCTCAGTTTGAACGAAAATACATTTCGGATCGCCGATTTTGTTGACCTCATTGATAAGATATCTGAAACGTATTTATCTTATTCGGAATATTTCGTTTCCAGCCATTTTTAGGATTTCAGTTATTATCTGAAAAACACGACTTAAATCCTCACATTGGAAAACACCATAGGTTCTTAACTTTGAAAAAGTGGAGCTTCTTACCCCTATTAAGCAGGACGGTTCTCAACTACTAAGGTGTTTTGCATAATGGTGCCGACTGTTATTCTGAGGAAAGGGGCCAGATAAGTCAAGGTAAAAGGCTACAAAGGTAGATTGCGATGCGCATCCCCGAAGTTATTGCTCAGATCGTGCCGACTACTTCAATCTCAGAATCTTCAATGTCCAAGTCACGACAAAATACTAGCTGACCCCTCCAGCAATGCACTTTGGAGCTCATAAACTGCTACCTGCTAACTGAAGAATAAAAATGAGCAGTCCCTCTAGCATTTCCTTCAAAAACTGGCTTACTGCAGAAAAAAAGGTGTGAACTGATCTTACCATCTGGGTTACTTGCGTCTCACTTTCTGAAACTAATTTATAAACTAACAAAATCAAAATAACCTTATCAGAGAACGTCTGGCTAGTACGATAGGATCGAAGTGGATGATGGCAGTGCCACGAGCTGTCGCGACTGTCTCCCCATGGACCACTCCGGGTCGCGATGAACCGATTGCTATCAATCGTTTTTCATCTAACTCATTGACGAGGAAAAATCTGAAATTCCACAACAGTATGGAAAGCAGAGTACAAATCGGCCTTACGTTATACTTCTGCTTAAGCTGATCCTAATTACATTTTAGATAAAATGGTTGCTATTAAGATGAAAGTGCATATTTTTCTTCTAATACCGCAAAGATATTATACCACATTGAGGAGGCGCAAAGGAGCTGCAAGGTTCTTACCGGAATGTAAATGAGTGGTTCTATGGGGCACACAAATATGTATCAAGGACTATTTCTCGTGAGCAGCGCACCACTAAATTTTTGCTAGCGAGTATAGTTGTAGGCTTATCTTGATATCATGAGCTTCCTTTACAAAAGAAATCCAACCAATTATACACGCAGCCCAACACTTTCCTGAACTAGTGCCATGAGGAAAAATGAGAATTAAAAGGGAAAAATGACCCTTGATCATTACCCTTTTCAGTGTGCACGAATGTATAGAAAAAAGTCTCACGGTGTGGGAATATTTTAATAGCAACTAATTTACCCAAAATCTTATTTGTAAGCTCGCTATAAGTGTAACAAACTCACGCTGCCATTTCTGTACTGGGTTTTACCGCGTAGAAATTACACATACTGTAGTACTCCCGTTTAGCATATTCGGATACCTTAATAAGAAAAGACATAGAGCATGGAGCAAAAGCCAGCTGTATAGTCAAGCGGATGATGCCAACCGCCAAATTTCCTCTCGTACTAAAGCGTTCCTAGCCTAATACAATAGTATCCAAAACTATTTGACAAAACCTCAGATCGAAGAAGAGAGTTGTGCTCATCTCCCCTTTTGGCTACACACGTATCCTGTCATACATGAAAATTTATCCCTACCCATATCTTTCTGTAACTTGGACTATCCAACGAATATCGCTCCATTCCCAAAACAGACCAAAGATGTTCTTAGAAAAGTAGGACACCCACAAGACACTCACTAATGCCTCGAAAAACAAGTATGTTTGCCCTAAAATCGATGACAGAAAACATTGCTTGGGGATTCGCATTATTCCTTATTACGAAAACCCGTAAAGATTCTTCGGTAATTACAGTTTGGATAAGCCAATGGACCCCACAGTTTAATCAGTAGCCCCTCAGTTGTCGTTTTTTAAAACGTATTTTTATAAATTTCGAACGCCATTCCAACCTCTTGGCTACTATTGTACACTTCTATTATCTCAAGAGTAATAAATAAGGGAATAACTTACATCAAAGCACAATTGCGAGCAACCGTTCACTCTGTTGCGGCGTTGCTTCGGTGATGGTTCAATGACTGGGCATGAATCTGGATTGGCGTAGTCGAACTGAAATAAGAACTCATGATATTTTGTAAAATCGATATGAAGTTCTCGTGAAATTCGTTAACAAACCATAAATATTTTCTTCAGAGCCATCATCGCAGCATCATTCTTAGCGGCTTTTTTAGACTTGCCGCTACCAATGAATTCTTCCTTATCATTGATTATAAGTTTACTTCTGAAAACCTTAGTTCAAACCTTAAATGCAAGTCCCTCAATCGCAAATCTGAAACACAATCAATAAAGTTGCTCACTTGAAAATAGTTCCCATTTGGTTTACAGATTCATCAGCTCCTAAGTCTTCATATTTAATGTTTGGCGTGACCTTAAACATAAAATTACGAACACCGCACATGTTATTACAGGCTTTGGTGTCAATTGAACAGACGTGAAAATCTCTCAAATAAAACAACTACAAAATCAACAGCACAACGGCAGTACCGATCTGTTCTGTTTAGCCAACAACACATGCAGCTTCTGACATGGTGGTACCGGTTGCTCGGCCTGCGGTGGTAGTTCAGCCGCCACTGCCGGAGGATCAATGTCAAAATGAGATCTGCAACCATGGAAGGAAATCTTATTCAACGACCATTTTATTCCGAAGAGAACCTATACAACGGAGCACTTAAAGGTAGGTGAATATCGATTTCGCCCAGGAGCTTGGAAAAATTTTTGACCAGCTCCGATGGTGAAAATATATTTGTCAAATTGTGAGAATTACCAACAGTGTGGTCTTCTATAATGTTTGTTTTAAAGGAAGTGTGAAATTGAGCATGCAAAATGAGGCGCAAAATTAGAATTTATGCATCCCATATAATGTATGCACCTTTTCTCCAGATCCTCTCCTAGATTTCCTTACTGCGGAGCTGAATGTTGCACAACTTTTGCATAGATTTTGATGAGTTCCCTCTCGAAAACTAATTACGTTCGATGGCATTTCACCTCAAGAATTGAGATTCCTTATGCAAGCATTTTTCCACATTTACACGACTTATGCATAAGCGGACAAAAAATGCAATACCCCATCTACCGAGCTGCCACTACTTCCACTCAAGCACATCTTTCGAACCACACAATGCCTAGCTCTACTGGTAATATAGTTTGTGCGATTCATGTGAGCATAAGGGACAAGCTTCCAACACAAGTAGTCCTACAGAAAAAAGTTTGAACTCAGCTTGGAAAATTATGCATACGACGAAGTTACAGATGAAGCGTGCGGAAACGGAAACTCAGCACACGGAAATTTTAAAACGAACCTGAGGAGCTCATGAGCTACGTACTCCTTGGCTTCATGTTTCGAGCGGCTTGGTGGTGACGTGAACTCAACTGTCTTATCGTTCACTGTAACAATGTGTTATTCATACTGTTTTCAGGCAATTGTGGGCAGTATTAGTATCAGCCTAGGCTTTCCTCCGGCACAGGAATCGTCTTCAGCGAATTCACGTACCGGAAACTATTCCCCGCAGCTGGGGGACCCGTTGCGACAAAGAAAATTGGATACGCGGCTATCTAAACGCTGTTCTTCGAAGTGGGTCCCCCAGGCAACGACGTCTTTTCCCTCGCTCGTCACTGACCAATTTTAAGGAAAGTGACTGGGGATCCGTCAAGATAAAGTTCATTTCAGAAACCTCGACTCGCTGTTTCATGAACTTTAGAAACATAGAATCCGATTCAGGGTCAAGCATCTCTGATATACTTTTCCAAAGACACCTTATTTGTACGTTTTTGCCATCACTTTACCTTTCTACATACAGTGCGTTTCATAATTATAAGGTCACCCTCAAATTTCGCACTTCCAGATGAAGCAATCATTCAGGATTTTTTCTAGCATCATGGACGGGTCCCCCACCCCGAATAACCTGGGTATCCGTTTTTTAGTAGCAGCTGCATTTTTCTGAACTTTTTTAGAACAGTTTATCGGTTTTTGCACCGTTTCATAATTATAAGGTCACCCTGAGAAAGTAAACAACTATTTATGGAGGAGAGGAAATTTCGTCATTTAAGATACTTATAAAGGTAAGCATGTGTAGCAAATGCATCTCTAACCCTGACTGTCAACATGGCTCGTGGTCGTCTGTTTTCCTCTGATGAGAAGGCTCCAATTCGGGCTCTTCTTGAAGCTGGGCTCAGTGAGCGAGCAGTTTCCAGACAAATAGGGAGATCCCTTTGCTCCATCCAAAGATTTCTAGAAAATCCTGATGTCCCTAGATGTAACACCAGCTGGGGACGCCCACGCAAGGTTACTACTCGTGACGAGCGGAAGTTTTTGAGGGCTGTTTCCAACAGTATGTCCTCCTTGAACCAGATCCGATCGGAATTAAACCTCTCTGTGTCGAAAACTACGGTCTGGAGAGCAGTAAGATGATGCGGGAACATCACTAGGCAAGCAATGAAGAAGGCGCCACGAATCACCGATCGCCATAGAGAGGCTCGACTCGAATTTGCAAAGATGAACCTAGGGAGAGATAGGGCAAAGGTAGGTCTGCATCAAAATCTCACCATACAGTTGAATATTTTCCATTCAGGTTGTCTTTTCGGATGAAAAGAAGTTCTTTCTTGGACGGTCCTGCCATCAACAAGTATTACTGGCGCGACTTGAGGAAGGAACCAGTCTACTTCAGCCGTCGCAATTTCGGTGGAGGAAGTCTTATGGTGTGGGGCGCATTCTGCAGTGATGTCGCGTTGGGTCGAGCCTTCGTGAGCTGCAGAATGGATCCCAAGGATTATCAGAACGTCTTGGAGCATCATCTCGTACCCTTTCTAAGCCGTGGCCGTCACCTCAATTACGTCTTTCAACAAGACAACGCCTCCATCCACGTGAGCCGTGCAACGAATGAGTGGCTGCAACGCCAAAACATAAGCGTTCTGCCATGGCCAGCCTGCAGTCCCGATCTCAACCCAATGGAAAATATCTGGGGTATAATAGACAGACAGGTTTATACGAATAACCGTCAATTCCAGAGTACAGAATGCTGAAGCGGACGATTATCGAAGCATGGAGAGCAATCGATGAGTAACATCTTCGAAACCTAGTTTCTAGTATGCCACATTGGCTCTTTGACGTTGCTCTTAAACAAGGAGGAACCATAGTTTATTTACTGTTGTACATACGCCATTAACATTAATAAATCATTCATTTTCTCAGGGTGACCTTATATTTATGAAACGGTGTAAAAACCGACGCTATCTTTAAAAAATTCATAAAAGAGTTTAGGTGAAGGGTATTGCGGTCAAAATTTGAATATAGAGGTAGATTGTCTGTCTGATGAGGAATCTGTCAGTGTTCGCCAAAAAATCCCATTGTGGCTGCTTTCTCCAGAATCGCAAAAATCGGTAGTGACCTTACAATTATGAAACGCACTGTATAACCCATGCTTTCACATAGTCATGACCGAAAAGAACCGGAACGTCGCAGCAAGAAAATGAAAATATGGTTTAGACATTAGTCTGATCTCTCGAAATTTTTCTTCACCGCCGTTTTCACAACGAAGAAAGCTATTATATAAACGCTCCATTGCCCATCGTCTCCGCCTATTCAGTCATGACTTGAAGTGGGATGAGAGCTTTTCGCAAAACGGTGACTTCTTTTCGGAGAAGTTCACCTCAGCTAAAGCTAAGTCATTCACACTACACACCACTCAAAGGTCCAGGATAGAACAAATAAGACCACTATATATGCAACTGAATGCGTTGTACTCTCCATCTGCTTGACCCTGATCTGACCCAGCATTCCCAAGAGATAAAACACGAGAGGACCCTGAAAATCGGACTACGATAAGGGGCAATTGTTTTGTTTTTCAACGATCCCGTCACTCTCCATCAACAGCCCCTCACTTCCTTTCCACCACGGGCGTTTGATCAATCTCGTTTGACATGGGCTGACATAAGGAGAGCTAGACGCCGCCATGTCTGGGATATCCGCTCGAGGAGGTAAGATAGTTACCATTTGATAGTCAGAAGTTTCTAATGGCATCAAAATATGGAGCAAACTCGTTTTCGGAAAACCTCTGCCATCTTATAATCGTGCTTTGTATACACAAGGGGCATGGACATTCTGTTGCCACTGGACTTGAAAGTACTAACATGAACCCTAAGAAAGAAGTGGCAACAAAATGTAGTAGGCTACGGATGACCACCTTCCGTCTGTGAAAAATTTGATTGAAACTGAAAGAAAAACCAAAAGGCAAAAATGCGATAGAAGAGTGCTCATCCATAGGGTCAGACCATCATTACGAATGATGGCAACGCTCAGAACTCCGATAGATTATGAAAAAAGGGGATCTGTATTTTGATCAGAGTTCTGAGTTATGAGAGAGAGAAAAGAACGTAGGGCAAAAGCAAAATACTGGAATGATCGATGAGAGTGCAGACGGCGACAAAAGTTGGCGGTACGTGGCCAATCCCCTTGTCGTTACTGATGTCTACCTTGAACTGCACCTCACAACCACACAGATGGGCGACCTGGTAGAGCGTCTGCAAAGAAAGTTGAGCAGGGATTGAGGTGGCGAACTAACATGTTTATATATTTCAAAGTAAAACCTGAATGATTGGCATGTCGGTGAGTTTTCCCATCAGATGACGACGAACAATTCTGCGAATGTCAGCCTGTGGGACTTGGAAAAGATCCAGCAAAGCCTTAAGCTCCACGTGAATGAGCCGATGACTGCTTATAGTACCACGCTATTCTTACCTCACGCACTGCCACATCTCTTGTAGAAATTTTCCCGAAGCCCTCATGGGTGTAGACCTTGCCCTGTTCGGCGAACGTAAGAGTAGCCCTTAAAAACGATGAGCATCACGTCAAGAGAACATTGTGACAGAAGATATTCCTTCAACTAACCTGAACTTTCGCTTTTCTCCAGGAGTAGCAGCAGTGTCAGTTATGTCGGTGATATCAAACACAGGATTATACGGTCCCTCAGAAACACGCTCCGCGCAGAGCTTTCGCATGCAGTCGAGCAGCGATAGTGCTGACTCCAATGCGTTCAGCTAAAGTAACAAAAAATTTATTGGTAATCTACAATTCCACATATCAGAAAATGAAGGAGCAAACCTTGATTTTTTTAGCTGGAGGAGCATCCTCGGATTCTGCCTTAGCTGGACGTTGAGCAGTTTGAGCAGTAACAGGAACACCATCTTTGACAGGTACGCTAGTAACTCCGTCCTCGAAAGGAGTAATTTCCAGATCAGGTCGAAGAGTTCGCAATGCCACTTCTGCCGTTTTCTACAAATATACGGGTTCTTAGAAATCCAATCCGTCTCAAGACTGTCAAAAAGGTGAGAAGTGAAGAATTGTACAGCAGCAATAGAAACTTCCATGAGGTTAAGAATTTACATTCCTTATTATTTACTCAATCTACTTTACTCGCAAGTCTTGTACCAGTGGAACACAACAGGTTGCGTTCCCTCACACATGGCCTATGGCGCTATGTTAGAGTGAGTGATGAAAAGAGCGTGATCCTTCGGCTGTACTTTTGGCAAAACGCCATGTTTGACAAAACTTAAAGCACTACTGTTAGTAAATACTCTACCTGCTTCGCAGTCTTTTTAGCAGGGGCGACCATTGTGAATTGTTGTCCACCGACGGTCAAAAGACAGCGATATGCTTTCGGATGAGCGGCAACCTCTTCGTACCTAGAAAATGGACCAGGTGATCTCCTTTGACATGCAGTGAGCTTACAATATCAATACAGAGGACATTATGACTAGTTGAAAATTCATTTTCGAATGACAAAAAAACTCACGCCTCGACAATGTCTTTGTACAGCTCATGCAAGAGCATGGCAGGTGTCTTGCCGGTGGGATCGGTCTCCTTCTTAGGTTTCTTTCCGAAGTTTTGAACAAACTGAAAACAATAGGGCCAGTACGAAATTTTTTACAAAAGCAAATTGAATATATATTTCATGAAAAACCTGATCGATAATCACTTTAAAGTTCATAGTATCAATTGACTAGAATATATACCGGTGGTGGTTGTGCCCAGCCTTTTTTCGGAAAGCTTTTTCCTTCCATACCCATCTGTCGCGCACCCGGAGCTACCCACTGCCCATATCCAACGCCGCCCATACGGTTTTGTGCCAAGCCTTTAGACATCTTAAAACGCCTGCATTAAAAAAATCATTTTGAAAAGCTTGGGCACCGCACGAACTTCTGGCACTGCAAAGTACGACTATTATGGAAAATTTACGCGCTGTGATTCATTTTTTCTGTCAAAATCAAGCTGTACCAAACAAGGGGTAACGGCTGACAGAGTAACAAACCAAAATTAAGTAAAACGCAACGGAAGAAACGAAACAGCTATCAGGGATTGTATGTAACCCAGCATACTTGAATAGCTACACATGCGAAACTTTAAAATCAATCGACAGCACCACTGTGAACAGGTTACTGCGTTACAGTGATGAATTCTACACAAACAGAAAAGGCGCACCCTCGAAACTGAACTCCATCCAGCACTGCCATCTCCCATCCCTGAGAGCAAGATAGACACAGGGTTGTTCAAGACCCTGTGTCTATCTTGCTACTCATGCTGTGTCTACTCATTAGGAGGACCATAGGGGTGGAATTACCGCACAAGCAAAAGACGACGGAGGTTGAGAAGCGGAGAGACGACAGAGGACAGAGGACAGCGGACCACCGATGAGTGCGCCAATGCTGCAGTTCTTTCTTTCTGTACTCACCCACCCAAATGGAACAGTTTGCAAAAACAAGAAGAAAGAAAATTTCAAATCCACTTCGTATTTACTCATGCAAACCTTTGTCTGTTGATCTACGTAAATGAATGTTGAAAGTATTAAAACAAACCGAGTTTTTTTCGGTTATTTTACATTTCGAACTGTAAGTCGAAAAGTAAGTGTTTAAATATTGGGTTGTAACATAAGTTCGTAGAGTTTTTCCACAAAGATTTATTTTAACAAAAAACAGTAATTATAATAATAAATCAATCAATGATGTATCCTCCTATTATTGTTTGCGACCTCTTCCAATCTCTCGACCAACTTGTTGATGCCGTTTCGCCAAAAATCGGCCGGTCTGGGGTCGAAGAAGTCGTTGAGCCAGTTTTTAAGGACCTCTTCGCCATCGAAGGTAACGCTCCTCATTTGGTTTGACAGAGAGTGGAAAGGTGGTAGTCGGTTGGTGCAAGATCCGGAGAGCACGGTGGATGCTGAAGAACCACTCATTCAAGCTTTTGGAGTGCTGTTTTGACGACTTAGGCATTATGGGGCCTGGCGTTGTCGTGGAGTAAGATGACCTGACCTTGTCTATCGGGTCTTCTCAGCCGAATAGCCTCACTAACACGGTTTAGCTGGGCAATGTAGACCTTCTTGTTGACAGTAGCGTTTCGTTCGAGCATTTCCTAGTGCACCATGCCTTTCCAGTCGCAACAAACGCAAATCATGACCCTTTTTTGAGCGGAGGTCTTTCTTGACTCTCGGCTTCATTGTCTCTCCTGGGGCCGCCCAGAGACACACCTAAGACACCTTCTTCGTACACACTGCATATGTCCCGAGCGGCTTCGGCTGCTTATTGACCTCGATGAAAAGCAGATGTCGAAAATGCTGATTTTCTCCTACTGGATATCCCAATTCTGAGCCAGAAAAAAGACATACAACTAGATTATCCAAAAAAACGAATAATACCGTTTTATAGAGGAGTAAGAGCTCTTTCGAATGAATATATACACTTCACGAAAAAACGAAGCGAATCGCTGTAAAATGACCCTAACACAAAACTCTACGAACTTATGTTACAACCCAATACTACTATGCGTACTTGCTGTAGAAGACTACTTTCTCGATAACCTTGCTGAAACCGAGGGCAAGTGACTCCTTCATTGAAAATTGGCGAGCTTCCTCTGTTGTATGTTTACTCGAGTAAGAGACCAGGCGTCAGTCACATATGCTCTTAGCTTTCATTTAAAAAAAAAAACATCTCTAGCCCAACGGCTTTCGTTGACGCGTAGTAGAGGGGAGCAGGGGCTGTCTCTCTCACAAACATCGGCCGTTGTTGTCACCAATGTTTTCCTTTTGATATCACAACGTACTTTGAGCTGACCGAACTTACCCTCGTTTTGTTTTGCGAACACATTACGGTCGCTGAGTGGAGAGCAAACGATATGCCCTGTAAGTCCAAACAAAAGGAAATCCCTTTTACTTTGCAAAAAGGACAGTTCAGGAAACGTTCTAGCACTTGATTTTTTTCACAAGTGAGTCAACCATGAATCGCTACGCACTGGAACGATTTATCCAGAAGAGAACGATAGGAATCAGCTACTGATTCAGGGAAAAAAGGACGATTATGCAACACTGGTTCACTTTTAGCCAACCCCCTCCCCTAGCGTTTAGCTGTGCAAAGATTAAAACTTGCAACGTTGATAACCAGCTGAAACCTACTGCGTGGTATAACTAAATCGTACAGCAATAGTAATCCGATTACATATATTTTTACGAAGCATATGAGATTACAGTGCCAGGTGTTCATTTACTGTACCCAAGCCTTTTCACTATATGTCCTATTTCGGGTCGATATCATGTGATTCGTCCGTTTTTGCTTTTCAAGTTAAAGCCGAAATTGAACCGCAGACCTTTGTGGCATCCCCGAATGGTTGTCGTTTTGCAGGGAAATTGGGTGTGTTATGAAAGTTCTGCGGTACAGCAGCAGCGGAAACAGACGAATTACCCCAGCCGTAGGGATATGCTTGAGTCTGAAAATGCAATAGCGTTGGAATTATTGAATATTGCAAGGCTTTCTACAATTAATTTGAAGGAATGAAAGCGTGGGGCAACTGTTTCATACGCGTCCCACGAAAAAACTTTTTTTCAGAGGCAGCCTCTTGCTGCTTCTCGTCATCTCCTCTCAGACATTCCTAAGAACGTTTTCATCTTCCATGTCGCCCTATTAGAATGTAATTTGCTTGTTTTATAGTAATTTTGCGTGTTCACAGGAACTTACAAAATCGTTAATAGTTCAAAAGAAAGACGTCAAAGTTACAAGTTAATACTAGGTTCCTTTTAAATAACCTCTAACATTTTACTCTTGCTAACTACCTCTACCATAAATATGAAAGCTAAAGGTGAATAGATAGATTTTATTGATCAGATGTACCTGTCACATTTGTAATGTTCTTACCTGAGCAGGAGCTCGAAAGTTGCCATTGCCCATTGGGGCGCCATAACCGTAAGGGTCCATCCCTGAACGAAGAATGATTGCCTAAAGGAGAATTTTCGATTCCGCAGAAAAAAACCGAACTAATACAGTGCGTTTCAGTAGTATACGTCCACCCCTCATCTCAACAAAAATTTCTCTCAAAGGGGTGATCCAAATTAGTAGCATGCATTAAGGAATTTGCTGCATCAGAATACATTGGAAAATAGGTTTTCAGATCTTCAAGTTTACAAAGGAATATTTTATAAGTATTTTTTCGAATTTCGACCGTTTCATAGTATACGCCCACTTTAAATAACAGTTTATTTATACAAACACAACCGTGTTCTTCATGAATATCAGTAATCAATTGGTGCACCCTGTTTGAGTGAGAGCTCCATGAGTCGATGCGGCATGCTCATTGTTAAGTTCCTGAGGACTGAACGGTCGATGTCTCTCCACGCCTCCATGACCGCAATTCGCAGCTCGTCGATGGTGGAAAACTGCCTGCTGTTGGCGTACACCCGTCGCACAATTATTCCCCAAAAGTTCTCCATTGGATTCAGATCAGGACTGCACGCAGGCTACTCCAAAACATCAACTTTCTGTTGCTGAAACCATGCAGATGTTGACCTGCTAGCATGGACACTTGCATTGTCCTGCTGGAAGACCAGCCTTTGCCGTCGCCTGCGGCTCAGAAACGGCTATAACTTGGATTCCAAAACCTGCTGGTACTCTTGCGAATCCATTCGACAGGATACAAATCCGAGCTCCAGCTTGCTATCCCAGCAGTAAGCTCCCCAAACCATCGGCGAACCGCCACCGAAATTGCGCCTGCTGAACTGCACTGGGTCCTTCCTCAGATCACACCAATAACATCTTGCTCCATCGGGCCCGTCGAGGTTGAACTTCTTCTCGTCGGAGAAGATCACCTGAAGACTTTAAATTAAATTACAGTGCATCAGCTATACCTAGCTTCACGACTGCACCTGTTTCCAATCCATGGTCGCATACTTTTGAGCAAAGCCGATTCGAGCAATCTTGTGCGAGTTGGTTAGGCGTGGTGCCTTTCTCATGACTTCTCTTACAATGTTGCCACTGCGTTTGATAGCTCTCCATACGGTTGTTTTCGACGCAGAGAGTTTCAAGTCTGCACGGATCTGGTTGACGCTGGTGNTGCTGAACTGCACTTTGTCCTTCCTCAGATCACGCCAATAACATCTTGCTCCATCGGGCCCGTCGAGGTTGAACTTCTTCTCGTCGGAGAAGATCACCTGAAGACTTTAAATTAAATTACAGTGCATCAGCTATACCTAGCTTCACGACTGCACTTGTTTCCAAACCATGGTCGCATTCTTTTGAGCAAAGCCGATTCGAGCAATCTTGTGCGAGTTGGTTAGGCGTGGTGCCTTTCTCATGACTTCTCTTACAATGTTGCCACTGCGTTTGATAGCTCTCCATACGGTTGTTTTCGACGCAGAGAGTTTCAAGTCTGCACGGATCTGGTTGACGCTGGTGACACTGTTCGAAGCTCTCCTCCATATTTCCCTTTCATCTCTGCTGAACAACTTGCATTGACGCCCTCGGGCACCTCCTTTGTCGTAGGCTCCAGGATCTCTGAGATAGGAGCAGACCACGCAATGAGTCCTGCCGATTTGATTGGCAATGCGCCGATTGCTGAATCCGGCTTCGTGGAGAGCTCGAATCTGAGCCTTTTCTTCTGCAGAGAGACGGGGACCACGTGGCATAGCAAGAAGACATGTCGCCCTTGACTTTGGTACGGAATGTTGTACCCCGGTTGAAACAGAAAATTTTTTCTCGATTAGTATAACAGGGGTGGACGTATATTATGAAACGGTCGAAATTCAGAAAAATGATTCTAAAAAATTTTCTTGTTGACTTGCCTGCCTGAAAAGATGTTGTTTACAGTTTTCTTGAGTCACGAATATGATAATGTGTGCTGCTTAATTGGGCCAGTTCTTTTAGAAAAGTTTTTGTCAAAATGATGGGTGGACGTATACCACTGAAACGCACTGTAGGTACAAATTTACGAGAACAACCTCACAAAAAGGACTAGAGAGAGGATACTGTAAAGCGTTCAAGAGACAAAAATAAATGGATAATTTTGAGGGATTACTACAGATGAAGCCGAAAATGTGCGAAAAGCCAAAAAGGGGTAGAAATGAGATGATTAACAGAGTGAAGGAAGACAGAAGGAAAAACGACCATACCACAAGGATGACAGGCGTAAATGGAAAGAAGCGGTCAGGGATGAAACGTGGCATTAACGCTTCCGAACATGTTTAACATGTCAAGAGTGTCGACGAACGGGAAGAGAACTGCTGTCGTGGACAACTGCCTCCCAGACACGAAATCAGCGTAGGGCATGCTGGCCGCTATCGATGAGCTAATCTGGCACGGGTCAACTATGCGGCGGGTGCCAGAGTGGCCGATAGTTCGAGTCTCGCGCGATTATTGATTTTTCACTTGCAAAAAGTTTTTATGAAAAGAAAAATAAACGTCCGAACGAGAGAACATCCCCTATTTACACTCAAAAAGGGAATAAGAAGTGCAAATGTGTCAGCCACTCACTATCTCTCTATACTTATAAATAAACTGTTGATAAAGAGCTTATTAACAACTAGCGATAAGATAATACTGAAATTAAAAAAAAGACTTAAACGCAATTAATTACGACCAATTCTTGACAAAAATAAGCAAGGTATTCAAAGAAAACGAGCGCAATTTCATTTTTCTCACTATAAAGCTAAATATAATAATGTTTTTTCTCACAGAAAAGCGATGAATAATTTTCCAAATGGCCACGACCGATGGGAGTAACTGCATGTGAAACCTAGATAAATGACCACTTTATCAAAATAAACATTTCCGGTAAGGGAAGGAGTTGCCATGCAACGATGGCACCGGCATCTTCCAGGCGCGTGTTGCGTCTGCGGTCCCTGGCGCATTGCCAAGCCTAGCACTCATGTAATTTGGGGCGCCTGGTTCGATTGATAGTTTATGCGCATCTGTTAGCTTCATGAGATTGCCTTTGGCAGATGCCGATTACCTAGTCTTGAATTAAATCCTTCCAAGCGAACTTCATTAGTAGAACTATTCTATACCTGGCATCTAATAACATGCACTAACATTTCCGATAGCCGTACTCGATAAAATTATTCCACTGAATGTCCTATATGAATAGCACGTTCAATTTCGCTCACGAAGTTATCACCAAAGCCCCTACCACATTGCACCTTTGTGCCATATCCACTTCGTGGTCCTTTGGAAGGTCTAAAAATATGTCCTCTGGGCACGATTTCCTGAGGCGATTCAATATAATTCTGAGTTCTGCCGATGCTTTGACCCGAGGATCGGATTGGAACCATGACAGGCTACCCTATTCCTATTAAGAAGCGGTTAGATGAATACGTGAGGTTACTTAAGCTCTTCTGTGATGTTGCTTCGATGTTTACTAAGAAAATAGTCGATACAATTGGAATATGAGCTGAAATTATGTTTCATTGTACAGAAAAGCAACCCTGCATCATAATAACTGAATCATTACCCAAGCTGTTATGTCGGTTCCCCTAAAATGTGAAACTAAAGGCGCTCATTAAAGTATTCATATGTCCAGCAGAGTATTTAATCATCAAAAGATCGAGCAAACGATTGCATAGAACTAACCATAGCCCCATTACGGAATAAGAAGTTTTTGGCATAAGAAAGGTGAGAAAAAAATAAATGTATGCCGCGAAGTAAGCGGAAAGGAAGGGAATGCTGCTGCGCAGCGCATGGTATAAGGCAGGTCCTGCAACGAATTTGATGCCCTGCGTCCCTAGCCCGAACAGAGAAAGTAGTGCCGTTTCGAAGTGGCAAAAGCGGGGTTCCCAGGTGACGGAAGATAGAGGCTTATACTTCTGTTCTCTGCAAAGAAAATCGTGAGTTCTGTGAATAGTAATAAATAAACGGAAAGCTGTCCCAACGGTCTGGTCGCTTCAAAACACGCAAGCAAGGAAGAACTTGTGGTCGAAGTACAAGTCCGCAACACGCAATTTTGCGACAAATTCAAAGTTCTGTACAAAACTGTCTTCGGACTGTTGCCGTTGATATTCCATATTCCAAACATGATGTGCTGATGATGGTCTATTAACATAATAAGTGGAATTTAATTGTGCTCGAAGATCTGCGCAAGATGTTGAGGTAGGCAAGACTGATCTGAACATTTGGCCGAACTTGCTTTTGAGGAGTAGTGAGATTTATTTTCAAAAATATAGTCTTTACATCAATATGCCATGCAGATTCAGACAGCGTCTTTACTTTTAGGAGTAGATTTAGTCCAGACAATCCTCTCATCGCTATAGCATGTGGGCAATTCTCACTCAGCCTTATGCAGGTGGGTAAAACTTAATTCGATTCATTTGGGCAGAAGAAAAGCATGTAAACTACTGTAATTCTTATAAAAACCGGAAGACTGCATACAAACGCAAAACGAGGATAGATACAGAAAAGCGATGTTTCGAAAAGTAGTAGAGATACCCTTAGACGTCACTGAATTTAGAAGAAAACATGAATCATTTTTTCCTTAACAAAAGCATAGATTAAAACGACCTGTGGAGTTGTAGAAGTGGAAAGAGCCAGGAGAAAACACATCTCTATCATCAAAACCTCTGACCAAAGCACTCATCAGAAGAACTCCTTGAATAGTTGCGTTTATTTTGCTAAGTTCTTCGAAGCCGACGAAGCTAGGAATAAAATTCAGCTAGATTTTTTCGAGAGCGCAACCTTCTATCAATATATGAGTGATTTTTGCTTAGCAGTTTCTTGGTATTAGCTCCAAAGGTAGGTACATCACCCTTAGACTGAGGGTGACATACTTACCTTTCTAAACTGAGGGGAGTAGGTCGCTTAGTCGGCAGAGCCCTGTTAAGGCTGCTAAATTTTAGTCCAGAAATTTTTGATTAATCAACAACAATGTTTTAGTCCTTTTTGGGTTACATATCTGAAGAGTATTGCCAAGTAAAGATTGCATTGAGATAGCCTATTGGAAATTGACAAGGCTATACAGTTACGGACATTTCCATGTTCAGACTATGTTCATGTTTTACTACGTCAAAGTATATCTGAACGTCTTTCACGTGCCCAACATGTGGTTTAATATCGCTCAGACGCTCTTCATGTTCTGGAATGCTATCAACGACCCTCTTTTTGGATACTTACAGGTTTCTTAATTGATCTATTTTTTTTNTTTTTTTTTAATTGTAAACAGTATCAGTACCCAATTCAACAACATCTGGTCTCGTTGTGTCTCTCCAAACTGCTTTCGATCTGAACTGAGACAAGTTAAGACCTTTCCATCCTAAAAGGTCAGCTGACATCTGCTAGCTTAACAATAAAACGATGAAACATACCTTACAAAGAATAATCGAAGACCCCCGTTGATTAGGAAGTCTTCCTTTTTTGTAAAGTGAAGGAGCTGCTATTTTCATTTCAATTCAGGACAAGCCAGGTTCATGGCTGAATTCGCGTACACGGGTTATTCGTACATTCGCTCCATTTATGGTCACATCCTTCGTGTTCATGTGGGTGCCATGGTCTGAGGGATCATCGCTAGAGGGCATCCACCTTATTGTGTCCCTTTTCTTGTATGATGCTTTTTTCAGGTAATAAGCTGTTTTTATGTTATTGTAGGTAGCACTCTTTAGAAATTAATATTTATGAACTGTTTCTCTTTCTTTTTCACCGTATCATCCAGCCGAAGAACGAAATTGTTTCCAGCGCTCTCGGAGTATCATGGAGTGCCTTATTTGCCGATTCTACCAAAGAGCCAGGACTGCGAGTTTCAGCGATGAAATATAGCCAGATCAGCATTCTAGCATCTGTTAACATAATAGCTGTTACAGAAAAACTGAGTCACAGCCTTGAGGTTTGTTTGTTGCAGCAAGACTCCCCGTAGATCTCGAGAAAACTGACTTATTTCCTTCAGATTTTCTGGGCTTTTCAATTGATTACTGTAGCTGTTGCCTTCATAGCGCTTTTCTGCTTCATGGTCGCAGGATCTCTTAGACCAAGCTTACCTTATAACGTAGAGAAGGACAGTCTTCTTATGGCCGATAATGACTTTGATGTGCCAGGGTCACCTGCTCTAAAAAAGTATGTCTGAGAGTTTCCAAGTCGATTTGTCTAAATTTTAACTGTTCTAGAAAAGAAGTTGGATCGATGTGGGTTGCCATGAAGGAGATTTTTCGTGAAAAAGACTTCATTGCAATTATTGCCACAAATTTCATACATACTGCTAGGTAAGTAGTGGAACTTTCAGGCAGGCAAAGTCAAGTAAAATGAATTTCGCGATTTTTTTTACGGAAGAAATTTTTGAAATTATGGCTTCAAAAGGTACGTCGAAAGTCTCCCGGAGCTCGCTTGATGTGTTCCCCGAGCAGCTCCGGGAGACAGCTTTTCTTTTATCTGCTGTTAAAAGGTGAAAGGTGGATAGCTCGGAACTTTACTCCTTTCATTAATATGTTCCGTAAAGAAATTCAGTGTATTTAGGAGCGTTGCCCACATGAATTTTGCTTCGACAGCTACTGAATTGCTTATTCCTCAAAGCATCCTTGCAAAAGGATCGTTACGGTTGAGTTTGTTCTATGGTGTTCTCACACTTGGCCCTCAGGTACTTAATCTTAACCGTATTGTGAGTTAACTTTCCTGATGTATGTTTTAAAGATACTTCTTATACTAAATGAACGTGTTGTTGCTAAAAATGGAGCATATCGGATTCTTATGATGAGCTACGCTGTTTCTGCACTTTCTGGCATAGTATTCTTCTTCATCGATAGTCCTTATCTAGTCATGGTTTTCATGCTTATTGATAGGTAATTTCAATTCGGTGCTAAAAACCCGAGAGCGGCGTGATGTCACTTTTCATAGTACGTTTTTTTCAGCATCACAGTCCATTCAGCTGCACCGTTGTTTAACATAGTCATTTCGGATTTCATAGATGATGATGCGAAGAGACATTCTAGAAGGTCTGACTTCTATTTTGAAATTCTTACCATAATGCTGAATATAAAGGGTGAGATATTTCTCAACAAGGAACAATTTGGGGAAAATAGACGCCACGGTTCAACCGAGACGCTCCGCCAACATACACTTTCAATTGTAAATCTAATTCTGGTTTTGCTATGAATTGTTGGCAGGAGATTCCATTTCCCTTACCACCCTTATACATTTGATTGGTCACGAGCAATGAAACATGCTCAACGTGAACGAATTCAGCTGGTGGGAAGTTTATGTGGTATCAGCTGTTCACCTCCCCTCAAGAATTTCCTTAGAAAGCTCATCAGACAAGCAGTTTTGGGGATTCGGTTCACTATGAAATTTTAATTAATCCCTAGGATTACTACTCAATAGACTTTCTGTTCTTCATGCTGAATTGGCAGGTTTCACAGTTACCGTAACAAAAATTTCTTTCAGATCTGGGCTGTCTTCTTTAGTATTCAGCTTGAATGCACTATTCGTCAAACCAGCTCAATCGGTAGCACCAGTTCTTGTAGTTTACATACTGAACAACTACGGGTACAGTGTGAGTTCTACATTGCTTTTACTGCAAAATCTTTGCGCTAGCAGCCGATTCATCGGGCAGTTTCTTCAGATAATTATAAGACGCTTTCTTAGCTTCTAAAATGGTTTACAGGATTACATTACGTCAAAGCAACCATCGACTGAGCTTGCCAGTGCGATGCGAACAGTTTTACTAACTACACCCATAATCCTTGGTGGACTACAGTATTACGTTTTCAAGTCGTACTCTCTTAAGAACAAACATGTGGTAAAACCAGCAGAAAACATTTGAATAATGTGCATGGCTACCTCAACAAACTCTAGCGATGTGTTGTTTATTTGTTAGGCTCCAATTCGAATTACTTACACTTCATTTTTATAGGTGTAAAAAGTTTTTGGCGTAGTTTTACTTACTGTTCTAGGCTTCGATGGTTTTGTTGAATTCACAGTCGGTTTCTAACTAGCGATTTTCGTACTAATAAATTTGCCCATTACTTCTCAGTACTTAGATATCATTTGGTATACCTCTTTCTATAAAGTAAAGTATTAGTCGATAGCTGATTAAAGCTTTGAATCTTACCATTTCAATGTGATATCGATTACTGTTGTTCACTTTTGTTTATGTTAATAACAACTTTTGTCAAGATTTTTTTGTGATAGTATTTATACATTCTTTTTTTTTTGCCTTGTAATTGTAACTATTGGATAAATATTGTTGGTGATTGTACACAACTATTTTCCACAATGGTCTTTTGGTGTAATCATCCGAGCTATTGAGCTATATAATCTTGCCCCTCTTGATGATGCTTTCCTTTTGCATTGGTGAGAATCTTTTTTTCCATCTTGCATCTATGCTGGATGATCGCTTTTAGACTTTCCTTTTTGCATGAGTGGCTTTCGTAAAAAAAGGGACAGCCTCACTGCTTCATCTGAGCAACAGCTTATCATGTAGGCCGCTTGACAGTTTCTTATGATACTAATTAGTTGGTGTAGATACCGCTGTCGCAGCTAAAAAGCAGTGGAAACTACATCAGGGTCATCGGGTGGAATTGATCACTCATCGAAAAGCTGTTTAAGTTCTGCCAATGTCACTTATCTCTGTCTGTCTCGAATATTTAGACGCATTTCCCTAATCCCAGAGAGTGTAAAGCATATGGGTAGATGATGAACTGTGGGGTTTCCGTTACTGTAAGTTCGATCGGTATTGACCGACCGGCACGCACTGTGGATGCTTTAGCAACAAAACTCTCTGTCTTGTTGCACGGTAAGTGGTATAGGATAAAGCTCCTAATGTGGAGTGCCTGCTTAAGTGCCTTCGATCGATAACGAATTCCATATCGATCGAAATCATCGAATTCTACGTAGAGGGGGGGGGGGGGGGNGGGGGGGGTTAGATGCCAAACGGTTGAGGGAGACCACTGGTAGCACCGAAACATTCACCACAGACGCGACCATCGATCGATGTTGACACTTTTTTTGTGAAGGGACGAAAACTAGTCATACACCACCACGTAAGTTTCTTCAAATCCTCATGTAAAATAGGCCGTCGATGGAAATTATCATTTTTAGTCACGTGCCCGCTACTGACTGCTTTCAGACCTCAACGATTCATCCGTCCGTCCGTCTGTCCGTCCGTTCAGCGCGTGCCGCGACGGCGGCGCCTGACCGTTGTCGACACACTGAATCACTTGCCAGCGCTGTCAACACTACTCTAGCGACCGCCGTCGCAGCACGCGCTGAACGGACGGACGGACGGTCGTCGAACTATGAAAGTAGCCACTCTGCACAGCCAAAACCAGTTAGACATATGCACGATGGAAAAGTTGCGTATTTGACAAGGGGGATGATGAATGAGGCTGGTACGGGGAAAAGTACTCGGAAAGAGACCTGGTCAGAAAATGATCTGGCAAGAGTAGTAACGACCATCCTCTTGACGTGACCACCCATCTTCGCCAAAATCTTTTACTATCCTGGGGATCATATTTCGAGGTTTCTTCAGTGATCACTACCACTTTACTTCTTATATCAAAATATCATAGCCTCCGCAATAGAATCAAATGATAGAATCCGCTCACTTCATCTGATTCGTTGACTATCCAAAATGTCCAAAGCAGTGGTTTTCCAACCTGCTACTACCACGAGCAAATACGACATGCAAAATGCTCTTTGCTAGCTGTCCGTGTTAATATTATCTCAGCCTGCGTTCTGGCTGAGACTTCGCCATAGGAGAGGTTGCCATGGATGCCGAGTGAAGAAGGCTGTTATAGCTTGTTTGGAAGTTCACAAAAAAGGTACACTTTTTCACTACGCCTTCAGGATCGATAACAAGTCATTTTAATGAGGATCCTCACTATCTTGAGGGATAAACTCTCACGTCTTTGAACAAAGTTGGACAAACAATAGCGCTGTGAATAGCGTAGTACTGCTGTACCTTTGAGCCCTTGATAAATTGTCGGGCAGTGCCTTGTCCATGCGCAGTCAGGTGGTATCAGACCCTTCTGACTGGCACATCTCTTGGGCAGTAAAAGTCATTGTATAGGGTTCGATGCATACCTGTCTTCTGCATTTAAAACTAATAGCACATTGATAAATAATGCAATAAAATGTTTCTTAGCCCTCCAGGCCAGATTCTACAGATTCTATCAACGCTTTCCTTTCTCTCTAAACTTATTCTCGTAGCCGCGTCGAGGGTCGTATGCGCCTCCTCAATTTTTTGCCCTCTCATTCACTTTTAATGATTAAGACCTCTTTCTTATTCGCTCTTCATTCGAGTCTCAGTACTTCCTTTTACTCCTTTTCTTTGCCATCGAAGAGCTATGGCAATATAGTACGAGTATGTTATGTACGACCATAACGCAGCTGGACATATTTTTGACTTATATATACGTCATAGCGATATTGTCTCTCTTAAGGTACCATGATACTATCTGCACTAGTTTTGGTGGACGAAATACGGGCTACCGTTCCTTGTTGTCTGTTATCCTTTTCGATGGTTCCTTATGCCACCGCATCTCTCGGAATTGGTGCTGTTTCGTGGGTTGTGCCAAGGAAAGTTACCCAGGTTAACATAATGACGTTTAGAGCTTTTTTGTTTGAGATTCTAGATGTTTATATTGTTTCAGGTTTTGGACAACACACTCTATAGAGCCTACATGAGGTTGTGTTTGTTTGTGTTTGAAAATATCTCCGGAGTGCAGGTGCGTCACTACAATTCCTTCTTTTTCTAAAATTCGAGTTCACTTTTCATTGATCAGTAGTGTATCCTATCAAGGGCACCTGCCCTATGGTTTATTGCAAAAAAAAAACCCGCCTAGGGTAGTTCTGACTTCCCCGTGTGCCACATCTTTAATTTGCGCTGCATCAGGGAAAGCTTCTACTTTTTTTCTTCAGCTAAGGAGGGCCAGCCGTCCATGGACAGTCAACTGCCTTCAACCTGAAGGGAGCCAATGTGGTTGTTAAATTGTTGTGCTCAGTTGAGGAAACCCTGTGATTAAGGAGTCGGTGTATATGGGATTTTTAAAGGCTAACCAATGCATGTATCATTAGTACTTTCTCTCGCGCCAGAACTTGATAGCAGCTCCCCGCTACGAGTGAAAGTGAAAGGAGAGATAGGTGAAGTCTTGATTTGTTAGATTGAATTGATGAAGCGTTCGGCCAAATCATTTTTATCACTGCCTCGTTTTTTGCCCCACAAAAGCCAGTGCCGTTACAAAAATTCTTAAGACTTTGCGTTCTAAGGTTGATTTGTATCCGACTATGAAACGAACGGAAGAGTTTGATAAGAATAAAAGAATCCGATAAGAATAAAGAAGGAACCTACCTCTCATCAACTTTGCCATTATATACTAATTTCAGCTGAAGCTGTATGGCGATTTCCAGCAAATGATGCGAGAACCTGAAAGTGCACTCGTCCTAGCAAACCACCAGAGTGACGGTAAATTTTTCATATGATCTCATCTCATTGTTGATTTCGTTGAATGTTGAATTCAGTGGACTGGGCAGTGGCAGTAATGTTGGCAGAACGCCAAGGACCACATGGTAACGAAGCTGGTTTTCGTGTAATGGTGAAACACGTTATCCACTTTGTACCCCTTTTTGGATGGTACATCTTCCAGGTTTGTTCTGAAACTGACTAACTACTTCTTAAAAAATTGTGAAAGCGTACTTTCCAAAGCCTGCATAAGTTCCGTGGTGGTGATAGGTAATTCTATCAGCTGCACCCGCTTGTGGGCGGACCATCACATGTGGTCATTCACTGCACAATTCACTACAGCAGCACTATTCTACCCTTTTTAGTTTTAGTAGGGTACTGCTATGGCATCGTTTCAGCGTGGTTACATATATGTTCGTCGATATGGCGAGTTTTTGAGTTCACCCGTGTTGAAGCAGCTTGCTTGGTTGGACTCTCTTAATGAAAAGTTCTGGCTGCTTATTTTTCCAGAAGGTACAAGGTAAGAATTTTAACCTTGCAGGATACATCTGCCTCGTCAGCCTTTGATTATTATTTTTTAAATGAGTTTCCAAAAGATTGAAATCCTTTGTTCCCTTTTGCTTTCTTCACATAACATTTCAGATTTTCATATAAACGAAAGGAAAACATCCTTGCCAGTCGGGAATTCTGCCATAGAAAGGTAATTTATGAAGTAAATTGATACGTTTCTCGTTCCGGTTAATAAGTTAAAAAGTAAAGGATGTAGGTAGAACAGATTAGAAAGCATTGACTGCTAAAAATTTTCAATCAATTCAGGGAATACCAGAGTTGAAGAATGTACTGTGCCCACGTGTTGGTGGTCTATTTATGGCCTTAGAGAGATTGGAAACTCTGGATGCAGTCTATGACGTAACCATTGGATATGGTCAGACAAGGTATATCCTAACAGCTATGTGTATTGGACCCTTAATACACCCATTTTGTCCCTGGAAACCAAAACACGGAATGTATACAATCCTCATTTAATAAATACTTTTGTCAAAGTAGCGCTAAATGGTGCCCTCCGTGATTCCCAGTCGTATTCTTCCTGATTGATTTGCCCGCCAATTTAGAGCTTTTTTATTGGGTAGAAATCCTCATCAATGTCAAAGCGTTGGACTTTTGAAGGCTACCGAAACGTCGTGGCCTCGCCCCAAATATGTTCGAATTCTGTTGCGGCGGACCGGCTGGGAGAACGCTCAGTATCCATTTGAAAAGATATCCGGCAAAGGAGATGCCAAAGAGTCGTAAAGAACTACAGGAGTGGACGCTCAAAGCATACGAAGAGAAAGACAAGTGCATTACATTATACGGCAATTGATATAGAAGATGAAAGTCGTGTCTTTTGTAAAATCTCTATCGTAATTGCAGACTTCTTGACCGCTTCCATGGAACAGGCGAATTTCCCGATCCAGTGTCGTTGAGCGAACCGTCAGTGTCGATCTTCCGAACTGTTCCACCAACCATCTGCTTCGTTGCAGCGCTTGTGGCACCTCTTTATGTTCCAGCCGTTAGGAAAGCTTATCTGTACACCGTGGCCAGTTTTCCATTGCTTATCCTTTGGCTTGAAATCAAAAAATGTGCCTGAATGTTTGTTATTTGTTGTTGTTCAAGTTGTTATAATTGACGTTCCTGCAGCACAAGGAAAGTCAGAATTTTTACAGAATGTCCCGATCAAATATCCTGTTATCTCCTCTTCCAAGTTTTTGTCTTTGATTAAACTAAACTTTATCGTGAGGTGAACAGTGCTGGCTTTAAATCTAGTGGAGTTTAGCAGATAGTCCCAGCTTCATTTCTGTTTTAATCGCTGACATAATAGTACGAAAAACAATTCTTTCTTCCCTTCTCGTGGTTCTTTTCTTCCTTGTTGGCATTCGTTTCAAGCTTTTGAGACAATTGCTCACTATGAATCCTCTCCGATCCGTCCATGAACTCATTCTGACACTGCCTTGAGGAAATACTCAGCATTTCTCAATACTTTTTACTGTTATGTACTTTGTTTGGCTTCCTTCTTCTTTTCCAAAAGATTTTTCAGGTGTTCCACAAGTGTCCTATTATTGATCAATAGACTTATTCATTTGTTGACAAGCCACTGTTACCTCTCCTTTGCCTTACCAGCTTTGCAATAACCTCACCTATGATGATTTTTGCTGTTTTGTGACTGCTGTTGAATGTTTGGCGTTTCACTTGTTTTCTTCCTTTTTGTGAAGTTGTAGAGTTTTAGGAAATTAGTTTTATAGATAAAGGTCCCATAGATTGTTCTAACACACTGACAATAACAATGAGATGAGGCAGCCTTCAAAAACATTACATCCAAAACGTGAAATTATACGGTTGCAAGCTGGATGTGTAACGATGTACTCGATGAGCGCCGATTCCTAGTTAGTTGTCTCGCTACAGGGCATGCCATTGAGTTCAACACCCGTCAGCCTTACAGCAAAGACCAATTCTTTACATGGCTTTACATGGAACTCAATTCGAGTTCCACAAAGTTGGCGAGTTGTGCACAAAACTTCTGCCTCGTCTCGACTCGATCCCATGCTTTTGCTACTCGGGTACCGTGCTTTTTATCCCGCACACTACCGAGATCCCGCTTGCCCTCGTCTTATAAACACTCTTCAAATACATGCTCCCCCTTTAGTAAGCCTCAAGTCTATTAGTTGATTGTTTCATTCGATTTCCAAGGTCGAAGCCCTTGTGTATATGATTGAATTTCCGTCGATTCACGTTGCCGTAGCCTCAGCTAGGGATAGACCGGCTAGCAATGACTTTCAATATGGAGTTCATTTTGCTACTGATCCCCGACACGAAAATATCCCTGACAGCATCGATTTAGCCATCGGCCACAGACGTCCTTTGCTGTGCAACAGTTGGTTTCAATGTCATAGAGTTGAACTCTTGAAGGTTATCGAACGAACTGTTCCGACCTCGGTCCAAAATTGTTCGAACACTGTCACAGCTAACGTGGTGGTAATGGATAGATTTGAAGTAAGGAATACGTGACGCTAATGAGAAAATGTGTTCATTCTGTGCCTAAGCGCAAAATATCGGCAGATGGCTCCAAAACAAAAAGTTAGAAGAGGAAAAGGAAAAACAAAAACAAACTATAAACAGCACGATCGGTGGAAAACATCGATCTGTTGCAACAAACTACCGGATATTGGAGAATGACTAGAAAGTAAAGCTAGATTATGAAAAACAAAAAGCAGAGAATGATGGCCTGAGGACCCGTTTCGATACATGATTGAAACACTATTTCCTGGTGTATGTTTAGCCATATGAAGAACGAAATAACTGGGTAGGACAGGACGAAGAACAAGTAAAAAACGAACGATAAAATCTTTCTACTTATACGCTCCTGTCACAGAATGATAAGAAGACTACTGAAAAAATTCTTCACAAATAACCTTCAAAACCAACCTTGATATAAAGTGGGCCAGGCGATTTTACGCAGATTCCACCCAACTGACACCTTTGTTCTTCACGAGCTAGACTGAAAATTATTCTGACAACACGTTATCTTGCAATAGACGGCGATAAGTGAAATAAATTGCAACACTGAAGTTCAAGCTGGCCTTCGAAAAACAAAATGACCATCACTATATCATGAACGTTCCTCCAAATGTTAAGAATCTTCAAGCCAAGATCTTGATTAAGGTCAGAGGACACCGTAATCCGAATCTACGACAAAACATGGCAATGTAGGAGCAGTTCCCGAGTGAAACTCTTCCTAACAGCTTCAGGGTACTAGGTTGACAACTAAGTAATTGAGTGTAGTTCAGGAAAATGTAACAACCACTTCTTTGAAAACGAAAAGAAGCAGTTATTCAGTTGTTCAGTGACCATAAAATACTCAGGTACCTAATCTACAAACACAAATTATTTCAAAAAAAAAATACAGACAGTTACCCTTCACGACAAATATTTGAAATAATCGAAAAATCCATTTACCCACTTGCCAATCTAATAAAATCGGTACACGCGGAACCGGCAACATGTAGAGAGCAACATTTTGAAAAGTAGCCATAACGACGATCAAGAAAAAGAGAAATTTCTAGAAAAATGTCTAAATAGATAAATAAACAACATAGTAATCTGAAGAAACTGCTTTTCAGAGTGCTTGGTGGAGAAAGGCTTAGTTGGTTTGAATGAGAGATTGGGCGCCTAATTCGATCTGGTGATCAATAGTGCTCTATTGGCAAAAGTCTCACAACAGTTCATTTTCGTAATTAAAATAATCCTACAGTAATAAACTTATAATATTTTATAACACTGTCATGGTATTGTAATCAAGGATAAAGAAGAAAACCTCTGACGTTATCAATCCTGTCTCTGGGATGCGCCCCGCATTTTGCTTCTTTTAGGAATCGAAGTGGCGTATTGAATGCGTATGCGGCCCATAATACGAGTTGCGATGGCCTGCCGATGTACAAGTCCGCGCATTTATCCTCCCACATGAGTTCGGTCCAGCCAACAGACTGACCCTGTGAGGACGGGAATTTGGTTGGCTCGGACCAGAATCGTTCCGGGATTCGATCTCCGGATGTTGCGTACGTGTGTGTGAAGGGGGATTCCGTGATACATGCTCGAATAAGGTCGTGGAAACTGGTATCAGCATTCGGTTTTATTGATGTTGTAATCTGTTGGGACGTGGAGCCATGGATGAGAAATTGTTTGCCGTTTTATTGAATTTATCCTATACTTTTCAATAAAAAGCAATAAGTTGGCGGTTGGGATTTTTTTTCGTCGATTTGTCCAATTGTCGAGACGTCTGTATGTTTACAAACTTGCCATCCGAATTATGATGAGGGGAGTGATACGAAAAAGTCACTGCCAGCTGAGGTGGTATCAGTATGTAGTAGCAATAAACACATAATGGGTGTGGTGATAGTGACAGCGCTATTACAGCATAGGCCATAAAATAGATGTGTACTTTGCCATCGTTATTTCGATCAATCAATAGCGATCAATACCGGTATGAGGTGCGGTTGACCAGGTTACATAGATCGCTGATGTAGTAGAGCCACCAATTTGGAAGATGATACAGATGCTTGTGTGTTGGCTTCAGTACTGCCATTTCATTCAATTTTGGCCGGTATTCTCCAGCACTGACATCAATCAATACTAATAATCAATATGGACCTTTTGCAGTTCATATAGCATTGCGAGCTTCAATTTAGAAGCATAAGCGCGTGATCCTCCTTGTAAACATGAATCTAAAGGGACAGTAGACAGTCATACCCGATACTTACCTCAGTCCCTGTGTCAGCTAATTATCCGTGTCCTTGGTGGAACCCTAGCTACTTATATCGACTGCCTTTCTATATTTNCCTTATTCTTTTACTCATCATGTCAAGACATTTAGTAAGGCAGTAAGGCTATGGAAAGGGGCAATCAACTGATAAATAGATCTGCAATATTTGTTACTGGGAAGTTTTTGATCATTACTTGAATCTGAAGAGCCTACTATAATTACATCTATAAAAATGAACAGAGGATAAGGGGAAAGCGTTCGGCGTCGACAAATCCCGGTTGAGATGCGCCCCCGTACTCGACTTCCGTTCAGATTTGTAGTGGCGATTTGAATGCTTAGGTAGCCTATACAATGACTTTCGGTATCCAGTTAGTGAGCAAGTCAGTGTTCTCATCCTCCCACACGAGCCCCGTTCCAGTTTATAGAACATCAACGAGTTGGAAAGCCTCGATGGCCTAGGAGAGTAGCGATCCCGGGGTTCAATCCCAGGACCATGCTTATGTGTTAGTGCGCCACTTGCCACTACACCACCGCCGTGAGAACAGTATGAATATAAATCGAAGTATTATCTGAAAAGCGTCAATTAAATTGGATTGAGTAATTGCGGTTGTGAGCACGTCTCTATGGTCCCTACGGCGGTGTAAGTAATGCCCAGGGTTGTCAGTCGTGTTTTTCACGTGCTTAGTTTACGTCCCACAATTGAACAACACATCCTCGTAAACAATATTCACAATTTTGGCTTGATTTCAAGTTTCGTGGCTGGTCGCCAAATTTGGCGCTCACCCACGAACTTCCACCAGGAATTATTTTGGATGATCTTTTGGAGAGTTCGAGATCTATTGGGGTTCTCACCGATCTTGATGAGTAATACCCAGCCAAGATTTCCTCCATTATTCTTATTTCCTCATTTTGTTCTTTTTTCCAGTTCTGTTCCATGTTACAAACTCTCCATCTGCCGTGTTTACCAAACGGTTGCTGAACTTTGATGCTTGACGAGACTGTCTGTTAACAAACTTTATTCATAGCTGAACAAATATACAAGTGTACAGCGTGTATTTGTGTATTTAATAATACTGCTCTAGCGGAAGTAATCAAAAGAGAAATAGTAAACAACAAAAAGATGGGGAGAGGAGGCTGGAGAGGGGAGCTGATGAGAGAAAAGGAGAGCAGTGAAGAGAACAAGAAGGAAAGAAACAAATCATCGCGTTCGAATGCTTTTCGCGAATTTTCTAATCGATGGATGGATGGGGTAGATAGAGTGGAACCGAATAGGCATACCCGGATAGGATGGTAGGACATCATCATCGGGATAGGCATTCGGGAAACAAAACAGA